AGAGAGAGAGTATATGAAAGCCCTTCTATTTTTTATTATGCTACAGATTGAGTAATGAATACTGGAAGACAATAGGGGCATGGATAGAAAGAAAGAGTAGAGCAGTGAAAGAAAATCCCGTTTAACCAACCATAACATCTGCTGTTGGGAAGTAGTCACCACATTGTTCACACTGTGGAGCTTCCATACGCCCTGCAAGAAGGTTGGCGTTGAAAACTTGAGACAATCCCGCCACTAAACCACTTCCAGGAAGATTAATGGCATCCGATGAATGCGCACTGGATCTGCTTCTGTGCAGCCGTTTCGACAGTTTCACCACGCCCTGACCCTCAGTCTCATCTTGCCCAGCTGCTGTTATCACTGCATCTGGGTCAACAGCTTCTTCCTCGTCATCACTACCAGAATCCTCAACCAGGGCGTCAAGCACTTCTGCTGTCATTATACTTGTTGAGCTGGCAAGAACGGACGCCTTCGAATGATGCTCTGCCATGTGAGCCTAAGGGAAATAGGTGCCGTTAGTATGTAAATTGCCAGAAAAGATATTATATATAGTATAAATAAGCTGGGGATTCAATGTTTGGGATATACCAAATCAAAAAAGAAGGATAGATGGATCGCAAGTGCTCTGAAGATAACAGTCGTTAATAGCTGGGCGCCAGATATCAGATGAATTTGAAAGAAAAATAAGACTAAATAATGATGAAAATAGCTTAAATTAAACCATCCAGGCTCATTAATCTCAGGCAGAATCTAAGGTTAAATTAATTAATATAAATATAATCATCTAAAATCGCAGTGCCCAGAATGCTGATCACAATATCTAAGATAAAGAAACGCGAATGGATAAATCTTTGAAAAAGAACAGGAATGCTAATCTGAAAGATACACAGAAAAAGGAAGCAAAAATTCAACTGGGCTAGCACCCACTTCCCGTTATATTACTAATGATGGCTAACGACACTTGATTTTAATGGATAAATGACAGAACCAAGGAAATGATAGGCATACCTGCATCTGCCGTCGCTCACTAAAGTAGATGTCGTGTGTGGCACAACGCATTCGGCTGACGCCGACGTGACGCATCTCATGATCCAAAAGGCCATTGAGAGACCGCAACTCTTTGGCACAGAGTGAACAGACACCCCAATGTTCAGGTAGAGGAACAGGGGCTGGAGGCGGTGCATGCGGATTGGCGGCGGCCGCAGCGGCCGCAGCCTGCTCTGCGGCGTGCCGATGCTGTCGAGCAAGCAAGACTGGTGTGTGACGCTGGGCTAAACGGAAGGCGACATCATACAGACTGGCTCGCACTGGCAAATGGAAAAGTAAGTCTGCAAGACGATCAGACACTCCGGAAATAGCTGAGGCTAGACGACTGGCCTCAAAATACGTGTAGTAGGCAACCTATTAAGAGAAGATTAGAAAACAAAATATCAATTGCAGATGTTATCGAACGTACATGGTTTAGCAAATCTCATAAAAGGAAGACAAAAAGGAGTTACGTTTGGCTAGGAGATCTTTAAATGCGCATAAGTAACCTGTAAAAGGTGGCAAATACAAAACTTTTCAAAAAGAAATAAAAACAATGGTAAATCTTGATTTGAATATGTTTTTAAAATAAGCCACTTGATATCTTTTGGCAAATTTTTATCTAGCTATTCGTACGCAATAGCATAGCCATTGTTAAGTGGTGAAAACCAGCGATCGCCTTATCTATTAAAAATGAAACCATAGTCCTCAAAGAAGTTGTTTGACCTTGTTTTCACAACTTGGTCATTTTGGCAGGGAGACCGAGAGAAATGCATCTTGTCCGGAGTCCATAGTATGCATGATAATTTCCAGTCGGACCGTGGACTTGGTATATTCCCAGACGTTTCGTCGGCATCGTCAGTGAACTTTGCCATTCTTAGCACCACACTACAACTCGTCAAAGAGACAAGTGAAATCGATCCTTTGACCAAATGTGCTAAACAGTTGTGATATCTCTCCTGTCCTGAGCTATTCACGTATCCTATGTGCTCGTATCACCCCTTCAATATCAACATTTCTTACTTGTTTATCTAGACCTATTTTAAATTTATTCACACTCCCCGTTGGTTTTCTCATTCCTCCCATTGTGCCAGGAGTGTTGATCCAAGGTTGCGGTTTAATCCGCAATCCTCTCTTCGGGTCCTATCAGTCCTCTCTTGTGGCGTAGGAACCTTCCCTTATCTGCCTGTTTCAGTGATTTTACCCATCTCTACCACCGTATTCGTGTTACTCAAGGCGTTGTTCTACACTGCCTCAAGCCTTTGATAGCACGTATACACCAGCATTACTGAGCAAGCCCCTTAAGTCTATATTCTCATTTGGCATGACAATCTAACTTGACGCTGCAGATTCCCTTATCGCTGTGCGGCATGTGCACCGAGTAAATCTCGTGGTCAAGCCTTTATTTGATGGGCCACATCTATGAGCGAACTGCTCTACTAATAGCTAACTAGAAATGGCCACTACCGTTTCTATCGCTCTTTATTGACTTTATATGGCATGCCAACCCCCAAATGTGATTGTTTACTTGATTTAAAAAGGCTCATTGTAGACGTCTTCTCTTGGCTTCCGATTGGTACTTTCTCGTCGCCTTGTAATTTCTTTCCCTAGAATTAAAGTATTACCTTTGTCGAGTCGTCTTCTTTTTGCTGATATTGCTGTTCCCCGATCTTGTCCGAGTTATTTTAGGCAATATGCAAAGTTTTTGTTAATCCTGCCTTCTTCTAGTCTCCTGTTAATTAGGTAACTTTCAGTCAGGATATCAATGGCTTCCCGTATCTTACATTTTCTTGTATTCCAACCATATGCAGCCAGCCTTTCTGTCGATTTCCACTCGATTTCGTGTCCCCTTCATGCGATGTGCTCCGCTATTTCAGATCTTTCAATGTCCATGTTTCTGCAGAATCTTTGGTGTTTCTTGATTCGTAGGCTAATTTTTCTTCCTGTTTCACCAATATTTCTGTTCATAGATGCCTAATTTGATGCTATAGCTTCCCGATCAATCCATTTTGTCAACCTTATGTTGCGTCGCCAGGCTTATGAAGACTTGCATTTTCTTTTGTTATCACTTTGATATTCCTTTTTTTAAGCAATTTCTGGCTCTGTTCACAAGGCAGGCATATCCACTTTTTGTCGTCATCCCGATTTCTGATCTTATTTTCATAAAATCCGAGCAGAAATGTGCTATTTATGGCATCTATATTTCTCTGTATACATTTTATTGGGTACCAGTTACTAAGGCAAATTCGGGTCAGTTTGTCCAACTCCTCGTTCTAGAACTCAGTGTCCGTTAGTATTAAGTTATAAGCCAACATGACCAAGTTGCGAAAGCAATATCAAACAACTTATATAAAACGAAAGGAGACTGCGATCATACAAAGGGCAACAC